AGGTTATAAATGTTTCTGAGCTTGTATCACTAAAGAAGACATGCGGTTCTATTAAAATTACATAGGCTACTGGTATAATCATGTTTAGTGCAAGTTTAAGAGCAACATAAACTTTTGAATTTCCTAACATTAGAAAGAAATACAATAACCGAAGCACTGTAACACCCGCTGAGTGCAACGATAGAGCTTGAAATATCAAAGACAAATTTTAATATAACTCCGACTGGATTCGTTTGAAAGAAGAAAGTCATATACACCTAGGATTTGCTCACCTAGGTGAGTAAAACACAGCCTAATTTTCATTTTTGGATGAACTAACCCTTTAAATATGGGCATCCATATTTCAACCCCATAGCAGTGGCAGTACCGGCCCTCGTGGCCAAAAAAACAGACCGGTGCTCCCGATTAGCCAATAAAACACCACTGAGATCATTTCTAGCCTAAATCATCGTCTCTATGTGATCCTCTTATCAGACAAGCTCATGTGGGGCATTAGAGGACAAAGGGTCTAAATGACTAAGCACCATTTCAAACTTTACCACCATGAATAATAAAAAAATTAAGTATTCTTGATGCATAAGTAATAGTGAAAAGACCTGTGATTTTACGTTTTTTAAACAAGACTTTAAGACAAGCCAGCATAAATTTGTCTTTCAAACTTTTAAATCTAGTTATTACAGTTTTTCTTACAGGTTTTTCTTTTCAACTGCTTACACACATTTTCAAAACTTTGCTTCTTTTTTGGAGCATCAGTGTGTGTTTGAACCAGGCCCGGACTGGCCATCGGGAGCACCGGAAGAATTTCCGGTGGCCTGGCGGCTGATTTGGCCCGCTGACCCATTTTTTTTTTTTTTAAGTTATTATTATTATTAATATTTTATATTTATGCCTTCTCAATGTACCAAAGTGATTCCAAATTTTTAATTCGATAATAAATCGATCATAAATCATAAATCGGTTAGTCTATTCCTGTTAGATTTTTGTGTGTTACATAGAGAATTGTGTGTTGTGTTTTGCAAAAAGTGTTTTATGAAATTGAAAACTGAGTCAAAGGCTTGGAATGAGTGTATGGTTTGCAGATTTGGTGTGTGGTTCTGGTGTTTGAGTGGCAGCTTTCAGAAATTGTGTGACAAGTAAAGATTTTGTGTGTAAGCAGTTGAAAAAACTGTAAATGCTTACAATTCAAATACACAGATGTCTTTCCTGCCCAGTGAACACTGAGATCAATAACACTGTAACAAAAACTCTTATAGGATTCAGGAATTATTTTTGCATCTCAATGTCTATTACAGTATACATAAATTAAATTACAGATACAGATGTATAATTCAGCAATGAACTTTTGGGAGAAAAAAAATCATTTTTATTTTGCTACTGTAAAGTAATCTTGCAGTAGATGAAAAGCACTAGAAAAGTTCAAATACCAAAGAATTGTATGAACTTAATATGCACCACAATACAGTACAGTAAAAAAAAATTTTTTGTTCGGCAAAAATGCAGTACACATAAAAAATGGTTACAAATAAAATTTGATAGTCACACGCTTTAAGGTGTACAACATGTGCTACAGTTTACTGTAGGCTTACATATAGAATAGTGAAATTTCCATGATCTAATATACTGGTACTGTACTGTAATTAGGCCTAGGCTATATTATAGCCTATGTGTAAGTATAAAACCCCTGTAGATGGTTGGCTCAGCTCTCTCCTCTCTCCGTTGTTAGCATGCAGAGATTCTGATTGGCGTGTCATCAGTTTTGCTACCTAATGTTTAACTTACTCATCATTGTTTAACTTTTTGAGAAATGTGTCTTTGTTTTGAAAACTGAATGAATGGTTTGGGGAAAAAAGTGTCAACTAAAATCAGTTATATTAACAATCGAGAAAACTGGATCACCAAACAATTACGCGATGAATCTCAGACATATCCGGACGGGATTAGATTTCTCAGAGGACTGCTGAGTTACCTGAAAAGCAGTAATTATCTGATTCACGAACAAATGTAAAAACAATTCGTTAGTGAACTGGGCCGCGCTTTGTGGTTTTGACTCAAAAAGATCCGGTTCATAAGAGTCATTTGTTAATGAAACCGACCTCACTGGCACGCTGCCCGCGCATGCAACCATCCTGCACAGTTTATTAAAAGAAGTGTTTTGGCCATTATTTTGCGTTACTCTGTCATCGCCGCGGCTGAAAAGTAGCACACGAAACACTGCTAACATTTATATTTTATATTCTTTGATAATTCTGGGGTGGCACAGCTTTTTCTCAGGGTGGCAGTTGCCACCCCGGTAGAGCCGCCCCTGACCCCATTATTATCATCATTCAGAATACTGTGCTAAAGGACATCAATATCGATTGAAAAGTTACATAAAAAAATTTAGCAGAGACAGATATTCACATGGATTTATTGTACAGGGAGGGAGCTAGAGCAGACAAAAATAATATGAGTCACAGCCTAATAATTCAATAGTGTGTTCAGTATTAGAATTTTTCAACAAAAATATTGTACTAATTTTGACATTTAGGCACTTTAGAAATTGTGTTTTAATACACTACCAGTCAAACGGTTTTGATCAGTAAGATTTTTAATGTTTTTAAAAAGTCTCTTCTGCTCACCAAGCCTTCATTCATTTGATCCAAAATACAGCAAAAACTGTATTGTATTAAATATTTGTATTAAAATGTAATTTATTCCTGTGATTTCAAAGCTGAATTCTCAGCATCATTACTCCAGTCTTCAGTGTCACATGATCCTTCAGAAATCATTCTAATATTCTGATTTGCTGCTTAAGAATTTTGTTATTATTATTATTATTATTATGTTGAAAACAGATTTTTAGATTTTTTTTCCAGGTTTCTTTGATGAATAGAAAGTTCAGAAGAACAGCATTTATCTGAAATAGAAATCTTTTGTAACATTATAAATGTCTTTATCATCACTTTTCAATTTAAAGCATCCTTGCTGCATAAAAGTAATAATTTCTATAATTATAGAAATTATTACCCCCCCTTGGCATAGTCCATGGGTAATGTTACAAAAGCTTTTTAATTTCAGATAAATGCTGATCTTTGAATCTTTCTGTTCATCAAAGAATCCTGATGTACTCAACGGTTTTAAATATTGATAATAATAATAACAACAACAACAAATATGTTTCTTGAACAGCAAATGAGCATATTAGAATGATTTCTGAAGGATCATGTGACACTGAAGACTGGAGTAAGGGTGCTGAAAATTCAGCCTTTTGATCACAGGAATAAATTACATTTTAAATATTCTAATCGAAAGCAGTTATTTTAAATAGTAAATATATTTCACAGAGATGTTGGGGAAAATGAAGAAAAGGGAAAGGGAAGTGAAGGTGCAGTGCAAGAGTGAACTTTAGTTATTTTCCACGGCCCCAGACTAAGGATTTAGACCTTTTTTTATGTGATGGCCATACAAATAATAGGGTTGTCTGGTTTCAGAAATGGTTGTGGATGTATAGGCTATATACAGGAAATAAGGGGACAAAATTGCACCTTTTGGGGTACAACAGCTTGTCACTGGAACCCTTAAAAGGACATAATTGTTCCTTTTTTACCCCTAATAGGTAGGCCTACAAATTAGTACCTTAAGGGTACGAATGACTACTCTTAAGGTACTAATATGTACGGTGTCAAGCTGTTGTACCCCAAAAGGTAAAATTTTGGCCCCTTTTTTCTGTGGCCTGGATGAGAGTGAGATTTCCCGGCCTGAAATTGCACCCCAGTCCGGCCCTGTCCACAAACATATTATAATATCTATTTCAATTATTTATAAATTCGTTTTTAAATGTACTTGTATTATTACAACTAATTGTCGCTGCAAACAAAGATGTTCTGTTCGTTTTATGCATAATTTTTGTTTAATTATGTGTAAACTGTAATCTATGATGTCTGTTTACAGTCATCACAACTCTGGGGTTTGTGAATCTGAGTCCATTCTAATCCATTCTGATGTTCTATATATTCTCTTCTTTTGTGTAGGCTAAATAAATAAATAACCCTTTCTCATGTTGTGTATTATGGTCTCTGGCGCCCTCTAGTGGCAAATCACTGCAGTAACCAGTAAGTGGTCAAATTCACCACTTCACCCTACAAACGCCACGCGAGTGGAAACACTAGAAGCGATTCTTTGGTAACCACTTCCGGTCTATCACTCTGTCAGTCTGAAGTTGAAATACTAGAAACCAAAGAAGCTCTGAGTCGGTACCGCCTCACTGACCCAACCAGCCCAACAGAGCCGTCACTTTTCCCCGGACTACGACCAGAAGGTAGTTATAGTTACATACATTTAGCTCTACGAACTGCTCAGATTTATATAATCACAAACATAAACACTTTTAGTAAATAAATTCGCGGTGTAAACATCTGAACTTGTGCTGTCACAGTATTAGCATTAGCTTCGCGTAGGAATGTGTTCTTGGAGCGCTAATAACTGTCATGAAACACATTTAAGCAATTAAATCATAACATACAGGTCATTTATGTTTATTGAAGTGATATTTGAAAATTATTGACTCTTAATTATTACTGTTAGGACATGCTGTAGTCAAAAAGATCAACATAATGTAGTTTATATAGAGAAAATATGAAGTATATTTTATGTAGTTACACTTATATTGGTGCCACCGGAGATAATACTTATATATTCGTTATATTGATGTTTGATTTTGTCTATCCACTGTTCTTGGCAATGTAGTGCTAGCAGTAGCCTGCTAGCTGTATCCAGCACATGTTATGATTAATAATGGAATGTTATGGAAATGAAACATTTCATCTGCACATATGACACCAGATTTTAAACAATGTGTATGTAGCATGCATGCAGATGTCATATGTACGTATTCAGATGAATCAGGCTTTCACATACTCTGGAAAGGGATGATTCACATAAAGTCAGATCATATCAAGGACATTTCACTGCTGATCACAGCATTTCAACCACACGTTTCTAACAGTTGTGTCATTCTTAAAAGCTACATATGTAAGTGTTTAATGAGTAGTGAAGTTGGGGCAACTGTCCAGCTGGCTAACACCGACCTGTCATTACTGTTGGGTCATGATCGTGCAGCGTTTTAGTCTGATATATGATGGTGGACAGTTTAAGTCTTATGAATCTGTCTTGTTATGATGGCAGCAGATTATTTCATGACTCAGTCCTCAATATGACCTTCAGAAGTCCCTATAGTGTCTACCCTCACCACCACATGTGCCGTTTTATTTTTGGAGAAGTCTTTCACATGAGTTGTAGTTACATCCAGTCTACTATTGGATTACTATGCATTATTCTCATGGCTTTTAAAAAATGTTAAGGAGTAAATGTCATGATGAGAACTGCTATTATTCACCCTCATGCCATTTCAGATCCATAAGACTTTTTCTTCCTGGAACACAGCAGGAGATGTTTAGTAAAGTGACACTGCTCTTTCATGTAAGGCAACAGCAAACGCACACGGCAAACAGGGGCTGTCGAGCTCCAAAAAGCACAATAAAACACCTTATATGACAATATGTGCACTATATTTCAAGACTCATAAAGTAATTATAGGTATTATACATTCTTTCAAAATCTAATTTGTTCTACTGCATTTTTAAACTTAAGCAATTGATTATGACAGATTTGACATAATTAACAAAAAAGCTTGCACATATCTTGTGTCCATGTTAAATATATGCTTGCATTGAATAGAAAAGATCAGCGTGAACATTTTTCAAAACATCTCCTTTTGTGTTACACATGAAGTCACACAAATTTGGATTGACATTTGGGTGAGTAAATCATTTTGGGTAAAAATGTAACAAATAGATATCATCATACTTCCCTAGTTGATTATTCACAGTACATTAAGACAAGTGTTTAGTGTTGCAAGTTTTCTAAAGTGTTTAAATATGCAAACGAGGCATCATGTAATTAATTATGCACTAATTTGCATACATTTCCAGAACAGAAATCTGAACATTGGATAAAGCCAGGCTCAAAATTCTTGTTTAAATCTAAAAATTGTTGACATAATTAGTTAAAGTTTTTTACAGAAAGGATTTTGGATTTCTCTTTTTATTCCAATAAAAAAATTATAAAAGCAAAATCAACTCAAATGTTACCAGTGCATAAACAAACAAAGGTTTTGCCAGTGTTTTTTTGCCTTAAGATGATAATGCACAGCATTTATCATCATTTTTTATTTTATTTTTAATCTTGCCGTATTACAAATACAAACAATATAAAGGTTAGGTTTTAAGTTGACAAGTAGCCTGATGTCCTCCTGCCCTCTTTCTGTCTGGGTCACTTGATCTGTGGTTAGGTAACGTGTCTTATCTCAGCAGTAAATTACGCCAAGCGGTTTCAAAGATTAGACTCTTACCTGAAACCACTGGCCAATAAAACACGTTTGGATTGGATCAGCTCTTCAAGATATGTTTGTTGACTGTTCTTATGCTTTATTTTCTCTTTCCTACAGCTTAAAATGCTATTGATGGGTGTTTACCTGGATCACTTCTGCTGACCAGTCCAATGCTTAATTTTCTATGGGGGTGGTTACTACTATGGACCCGGATTCGGCCCGGCAACCGCAGGGCAAGTTGGGTAAAGGTGGCCACGCGCTAATAGGGGCCAATCTGGGCACTCGGGGAAAACACTATGTGTGCGGCTCGCTTGCTGCGTTCACCAACATCATCGTGACCTTTCCTATTCAGAAAGTTTTGTTCCGGCAGCAGCTTCACGGGGTCCGAGCGACCGAGGCCGTCCGTCAGTTGCAGAGGGAAGGGTTGAGACATCTCTACCGAGGGCTTCTGCCTCCACTACTGCAGAAGACCACCACCGTGGCCATCATGTTTGGTCTGTATGAGGATTTTTCCCGGTTGCTTTTGCGTCACGCTCACAGAAGTGGTGCGCCTGAGCTTGTTACACGGAGCGTCGCTGCTGCGCTGGCCGGGATGGCTGAGGCCGCCCTTACGCCGTTCGAAAGGGTGCAAACGCTGCTTCAGGATCACAGGCAAAACGGGCGTTTCAATAACACCGCCCACACCTTCCGGACTCTCCTGCGTGATTATGGTGTGAGGGAGTGCTACCGTGGGCTGGTCCCGGTTTTGTTGCGAAACGGGCCTAGTAACGTTTTGTTCTTTGGCTTGCGTGGGCCAATTAAGCAGCGGCTGCCTGATGCCCGAACCCATATGGGTCACATGGCCAATGACTTTGTGTGTGGCGGGCTGCTGGGGGCGGCACTGGGTATCATGTTCTACCCCCTGAATGTGGTCAAATCTCGAGCTCAGGCTCAAGTCGGGGGCGAGTTTGTTCCTTGCCATCAAGTGCTGATGACGGTGTGGCGGGAACGAGGCGGCAGCATCGTGCTGCTCTTCCGCGGAGCGACGCTCAACTACCATCGATCTCTTCTGTCGTGGGGGATCATCAATGCGACTTACGAGCTACTACTGAAAGTTTTCTGAAGACTAGGGTGGATAACGGCGTGCACTTTTTCCGAAGCAAGCCAAATTGAGAGTTTTTTACCTCTTTAAAAGAGGTCTGGACACTGCCAGCTCCTTAACGTCTGCACTTAAAGGGATAGTTCACCCAAAAATGAATCATTTACTCACCCCCATGTCATTTCAAACCTGTATGTAGATATTGTGAAGAATCAAATGATCAAATGATTTTGTGTTCCATTGACTGCCATAGTATGGACAAAAAAATACAATGGAAGTCAATGGGACTCAAAACTGTTTGTTCTTCAGAATATCTTCTTTTGTGTTCCACAGAAGAAAGTAAGTCATGCAGGTTTGGAATGATATGAGGGTGAGTAAATGGGTTTTGGGTGAACTGTCCCTTTAATACTTAATGATCTGTATAATTATGGATGGACAGTATACATGTGCTGATAACTACATATAAAGTCCATCCATTTTACTCGGCTACTATAAGTGTTGTTGTTGAAATGTATCACCACACGCTGTGGCTCTCGTATCAGTTTTGTAGTGGCTCTTTTACTCACTTTTTGGGGGTCTGTGGGACACGGATGGAGAAAGCACAGTGTTGCACTGCTGACAGTACATTTCTACTTATTTTCTGTTGTTTAGTTAAAAAACCTGATGCACAAACTCTGGACTGGAGCATTACAAGCCATGTGTCATATGTGTTACGTGCAGGTTGACCGAGGGTTCGTAAAATGGGTGTGACTTGTGGACCACACAAAGCGAGAGATGTCTGTACAAGCCCATGGTGTTAGTGTTTTTGCCAATCAGAAAAAGTCCTGATGTATTATTCAAAGATGTGTGATCATTCTCATGAAATGCTGTTTTTATGTAACGAGTGTTTTGTGACATGAATGACATTTTCACATTGTTGTGGGTGGAAAGTAAACAAGTAATTCCTCTTATTGCATTTTGGGTATAATTTTTTAACAGTTCATGATGGTTTAATCATCATGAGATCAAAACAGACTTTACTTTTATTACTTGACTTATAGTAAACAATGTTATTTTACGTATAATTAAAGGTGCTGTATGTAGGATTGACACCCAGTGGTTGAACTAGGTATTGGAGAGGGTTTTTTTTTAGCTGGCCCCTACTCCTCAGACTTGATGCACATGCAGGTTGCCAGATTGACGACACCAACAGGAATGAGCGCACATGACGATGAATGAAATGAAATGCGCTGTGTTTTCCGCCAACTGGCAACCCGGGGTGCCGAAATACAATTGGGTAAACTGTCAGTGGGCGGGTTACACAGACCAAAACAAAGACAGACATTTCGTCCCAGAACGCACATTTTCAAAGGAGAATAACTGACTAGCATTGTTTTTCAGATTAACAAGTACGTTAACTTAGCATGTTTCTTAAATATCTGCAAACATATTATGGTATTTTTATGCTTTAGTAGAGTCAAAAACTTACATACAGCACCTTTAAAGATAGATATCATCATATATACACCAAATATATAACACACTTTTGTATACCTAAATATTAGGTATATTATTGGTATAAATATTATGCTTAGAGTATCCGTTCTTAGCTTAGCAACATGGTGAAACCATGCACTTGACATGAGGAGAGTTATTTGTCAAGACAGGGTTTATTTGCATAACGCATTTAAAGGGGTCATATGATGCGATTTAAATTTTTCCTTTCTCTTTGGAGTGTTACAAGCGCCGGACACGGCATCAACACAGTATGGTGAGGGGCGTAACATTTCCATCTCACGCTTGAGGTATTCGGCCAATCACAACGCACTGGATAGCTGGCCAATCACAGCACACCTCGCTTTTTCAGACCGATGAGCTTTGTAAAAATCGACGCGTTTCAGAAAGGCGGGGCATAGAGGAGAAACAATAATGTACAGTATGTGGAAAATAATGTGTTTTTTGAACCTTAAACCGCATAAACACATTTCATTACACCAAATACACAAAATAATGTTCTTTTTAGCAACATCAAATGACCCCTTTAAGAGTATACATATTTGAAAGCAGCTTTACAGATTATATTATGTATCATTGCCCTGAAAATGACCCAATTGCATTTGCAATTTTATCAAGAAATCTGAGCAATAGAATTCAATTAATTAAAAACCTTTCTGTCCTACTTTTGCATGTTTTTCTTAATGCAATTTTTCTTTCTTTTCAAGCCTTTCAGCATTTACACACTTTAACGCCCTGTACTTAACCGTGGCTAACATAATGGGCTCAATTGCACTTCCCTCCATTCTGCTCAGACAGAGTTAACCTCCGGGGGACAGAGGAATACATGGAAACATCCCATCACATGGGGTGAAATGGCATTCAAGGACAGATGCTTTTAGAGCTGTGTGGCAGCACCATCTCAGGGCATCATGTGGGTGGCTTTTCCTTCTCTGAGCCGTAAGTAAATCCCAGGGATTGTTTTGGAAAAATGTCCTAAATGATTCGATGTTGATGGAGGCAGTAGACCGGACGTTTTATTTAAATTAAAAACATTTTGATTCCTGCTTTTCATACAAATGAGCATAAAACGAATAAAGTAGTGCAAAATTGGCCTCTAAAAATGGTCAGTGTTATATTTAACAGCACAACATGGGAAAATAATATGACAGCAATGTTATACATTTTGATTTTAAAATCAAATCATGTTTATCTGGCTGCTCCAGCTTGTGTGCATTCATAAGTAAACAAAAATGTGTTCTTTTAACTTTACGGTGGGACTACAGTCGCCATATTGAATGTTTCGATTTTTACCCACTAATGTTCATACAAATAGATCCTTTCAAGTATAAAGCTACATACTAAACAATTAGCACACTCTGTGGATTGGAAATAAATGCAATTTCTGCCCTCTCAACATGCAAGAGGATGAAAATGTCATGAGCATTTGCCAAAAAAGTGGTCCTGTATTACTAAACACCACACGGCACTTCAAATATTTGCCTTCTGGCTGCTCTGATAGTGTGATATCACTACTGTGCTATGATAGTGCGAACTGGCATTAAAAATTAATAAACCATAGTAAAATTGTACAAAAATGCCCTATCAACCACGTAACAGCATGCAAAACAAAAATAAAAAACACTCAGAGCACTTTAGTAACCACATTGCAACACCCTCACAGCTACTGAATAACATACAACTGTACCATCCTCAGAAAATGTGGAAATCTAGTTTGTTTAATATTTTTGTAATAAAAGCATCACTTTGAGGGATAGTTCACCCCAAAATACTCATCCTCACGTTGTTCCAAATCTGTATGACTTTGTTTCTTCTGCAGAACACAAAGTAAGATATTGTGAATAATGTTGGTAACCAAACAGTTGATGGTCCTCATTGACTTTATATGAACAAAAAATACAGTGGAACTCAATGGGAACTGAAACTGTTTGATTATCAACAAAAGACATGAGGGTGAGTAAATGATGGAATTTGTATTTTTTGGTGAACTATGCTTTTAATTGAGTGTTAAATTACCTAAAGCACAGAGTTTCCTATGACATTTACAATTGAAAAGAGAAAAGGCTACAAAAACATCTTTAAGAGTTACTACAGATTAAAATTTAGTCACTCCCTCTGTTGAAAAGCCACAGATTACAGCGAGCGTGTCTGCCAGCAAACAGCTCCAGCACAATCCCATCATTCCCTCTGTTTGAACTGTGAAAGATTTTAGTTTGAGTTTAATCCCAGGCCTAATATGTAATCTCCTCCTGCCAACTCAAAAACAAATACAGCCTGACAATTTAGTGCTTTAGTAGGTGTGGTAAACTAGAAATTAGACTGTTAGAAAAGACAAAACATTGTAAAATAACAGATGTCACAGCTTTTGAGAATAAAGCCCAAAAATATCTAAATCAAATCTCACAAAATCGGTCAAGAACATGTCCAGGTCATATTTCAACCCAAAATCAAAAGAAAGATGTAAGAAATTATATTTTGCCTAAAGGAAAATGAAAAAGCCATTCAACACAAAAGCTGCATTAGTTCCATAGCATTTGTCATTCAAAATCAAACCTTTATTATCATGAACACAGTAAAGGGAATGCAAAACATACTCTTGATTGTCCCTTCTCATTTCATTCAGAGGTTTGCCTTCATATTCACGTAAAGCCACATTTAAGATTTTATTTTGTGCACTTTGAAACACAATCATCTGCATACAACATGTCTCAATACATATGGTCTTTACAAGCAGTTTTTTTTGCTTCATAGTTGCTACAAATGCAATGGCAGTTCCTTTAAGTCTTTGTCATTCTTAGAACCTTCATTTGACAGGAAGATTTTAATACAGAAATATGTTTGCTCTCTGATAGTCCGATATGAAAATTGTTCCTGTGAAAAGACTGAATAGTAACAGATATTTGTCTCTTTCCTTCTCATGACTTTTCTCTTGATGCAAACTATCTTTCTGACTTGATAACCACAATCTGGCAGTGTGTTTATTGGGAGGGATGTGTCCAATATGGATGATATTCTTGCCATCTGGAAGCACTTCTCTAAAGTCAAGTTACTTAGAACTGAACAAGGCTGATGTCATAATCCGTCCATTGACCTCAAGTTGGTCATGTGATCTGGGCAATTGAATTATTTATGTATTCTGGGTGCAAGTTGCCTTTTGAAACCTGTTCTAGAAACAGCCAGTGAGAATTTTCATCCTTGGCTGTAATACCGCAAAATACTGGTCTGAGATCAGCAACAAAGGGCAAATGAATCCCCAGGACTCAATTACTCGAAATTCCAAGTGTAGTCTTTGATAATCTCCTCAATCATATTTTTGTGAATATGACAGCCAAATCCAAAATTGGCATTCTTAGATCTGAAACACTCTGTGCAAGTACAGAAATGCAGATTTGAAGGCTTGAACGATGCATTTCAATTGTGCAGTTCCAAACAAACTCTCAAGGAGGCAACAGGCACTGCGTTATGTATTACGCAATGAAATTGAGCTGGTTTTGCTAGAAGCATTTGCGTTCACATACTTGCATGGAGTATGTTTCTGGCCTTACTCAAAGATGATTTAAACAGAGTATTTAATGTATACTAAATATGGTGCAGTTCACCACTTACAAAAGTGAAAGAAAAAAATATTTCCAACTGAACCTTTTGTTTGAATAAACAGAAGGCAAAATAAATATACGCTGCATTCGCAAAATAATGCAATCCAACAAACTTCACAACAATCTTCCAAGATAAAATATAAGGCCTAGGCTTGTCAGGGACATCCTCTAAAGCGAAATATTAGTGATTCATAACAAATTGAAAATTATGTATGTATTAATATGTATAAATTGTAAGAAAGTATAATACGTGGAAAAATTTGGGTATAAATCGTGATGCTTGCATAGTCAAAAATGACAGACGAGTGAGAAATTGTGTGGTTTGGCTATCATTGGGATCGGTTTTACAGGGTGCTCCAGTAACTTGGTGACATCGTTGTTGTGTAAACGCCCCAATTGTGCTATTATGTCTTTGGACCACACCGATCTCTGTGGTTAAGTCAGTTGATAGGCCAATATAAAAACTAACATCAAAAGCCAAACTTGACACGCCAACATACAGTTAAAAAAAAGTCAAATTGCCGCACTTCTATTGCCATCAGCTCTCATTCTACAGCCGGAAAGGTATCATAGACAAAATGAAATGAAAATCCTTTGGGTAGTCTAGTGAAACGTTACTGCATAAGTATTTGGGCTTCTTAGTGTGTGTCCCAGCATCTATTGTTTGGGGTTAGTGGAGTGTCCGTTCACTTTGTTCCTTCAATCTGTTAGAGCAGCATGACTAAACTAAACATGAAAACAAGTGAAGTTTCATAACACTGTTTATCTCAGTTATTAGAGCAAGAGGTAGGGATTCACATATACCCAAAAAAAACAAAATGCAGGTATAGTAGGTTAGAAACCACAGTGCGCATATACTGTATGCAAAAAAATAAATACATACTACAGACTGTACATACATCGGGAATTAAAGAACCGTTAGAAAATAGCTATGTCTGAATGCATAATTCCAGTATGTTTATAGGGAGACTTGGCAAGACAAACAGGTTAACACATAACACTTCTGACATGTTAGTTTGCTAACTGTGTGTGTACGTTCACGGCACTTACTATTATTCTTGTGTGCCAGCACACAATCAGTTTTTAGATGCCAGAAAGTCATCGCTACTTTAAGTACAATTCTATGCTCACACTCTACAATCCCTTAAGAGGGTGCCGGAAGGTAAAATTCAAAAGTTCAGAGGTACATTTCCATTGTCTATGTCTGGTGTCCGTGTCCGAAACAGTTGTGTTAGCGAGAAGACAGTTGAAATGAGAACAGTACACTGCTTGGCTAAGAGCCTGACACCTTCGCCCTCTCTCGCTGTCTCTACAGCACCTACAAACTCCTTATACAGGTCCACGATCTCCTCAAGCTTCCTCAGGGCCTCATCTGCATCAATATCCCCATGAGAGCCTCCGCAGTCCGAACAAGGAACTCGCATGCAGGTTGAGGTAAGTTGCACTAGAGCTCCAAAGCTGTTTCTGAGGGACAGAAGAGCATCATCAGGTGCCCATCCAACCCGTGTGGCTCTCTGACATCCTGACGCCAATCTCCGTGCCTCCGCCTGAACCAGGCATCTCTCTGTCTCTGAAAGCGAATTCACATTCACATTGCCGTTTTCGCATTCCCCCTTGTGGGTTGGAGGGTATACTGCAGAAGGTCCTTTCTTCAAAACCATAAGTAGTTCATCAATATCTCGCTGCAAACAGACATAGCTGTCTTTAAGCCCTGCACCTTTCTGACCAGTAACATAACGGTGGCCTTGCAAAAAATGGAGCGGATTATTCATTGGTCCACAGTCTAGAGGCAGAGATTCCAGAGGTCTGGGAGGGACCAGGAGTGGACTGAGTTCTGAGGATGAAGGTAGGGGACGAGGGGAATCTCTGAGTAGGGAGAGAACATTTGGTGAGGGACCAGAGAGGGTTGCAGGGGATGGAACCGGGGTGGGTTGTGGTGGTTTACTTGTGCGGTTTCGACGGGAGAATTCGTAAACAGTCAGATCATCATCAAAGCTGCAGTTGTCCTCTGTATCTCCGCTGAAACAGTTGGCATAGACTGTATGGCAGCCACATGCATCACGATGGGAAGGACTTGTGGAGGATAGAGAGGACGCATTGTCAAGTTGAATCTCTGAAGGGTTACCTTTGTGTGACTGAGGCTGTTCAGACTTGCAGGTCCCAAAATGCCTGTGCAACTCGGTAGCTTCTGTGGAAAATTTCTGCCTCAGGTCAGGATGGCTTGACGATGTTGGAGGTTTCCCGTTAGTGTCTTTAACAGGAGTTGGGGTCACTTCCTCAGGTCCATCTTTTAGCTTCACAATGACTACTTCAGCATCTTTCTCTTTCCAGTCAATCAAGGATGGCACTGAAGTGGCCTTGGGAGATACCTTCTTGGAATCATGATTCACATCTGTTGCAATGGTTGCTATATTGCCTGTTGATGAAATAGTGTTGCTGAGTGCTACTGTCCCCAAGATCTCTTGGGAACGGGTGAGGTCCCAGGGCATATCCTGAATTTTTCCCCGCAAGGCTGTGGCAGACAGACGTCCGGACGAGCCTGTTCTACTGGAGAAGCTAGTCCCTGATTGAGCTGGATCTTCAGGAACAATATTTACAGATTGAACTGAAGGAGAAGGTAAGGGAGATGGAGATGGGGTAGGAGTGGTTGAAGCACTTGTAGGTTTGACTGTAGAGCTTTCAGCCTTTAGTTCAGTTCTTAAGTTCTCATGACTTAGAGAAACACCCTTACTCAGTGTAGAGAGTGGGGAGGTACTGGTACCATTTCTCTGAGACCAGGAGTGTAGAGAAAGACCATTGGGGGGAACTTTTGTCTTTTCCTCAGGCTTTTGTGACTGGGCATTAACTGCCTTTGAGCATGGCTGTAAACCAATGAATGATGGCTTGGGAGGTATTGGAGGCTTTGTGTTCATCTGGGGCACTTTATTTTCTGATTTTCTGGTTTCAAGAGAGTCTGACGACTGTTGTTGTAGAGGACTCTTGCTGTCTGCTGTTATTTTCCCAAATTCAGTTGTTCCTTTGGCATTTGTTGGCTCTTTCTGATTTGGCTTAATATCTTGACTATCAAGTATCTCAAGATCCACATGATTTGGAGTAGTCTCTTTATCTAGACTGTCTGAAACCTGGTCAGTTATTCCATTTTGTGGTCTCAGACCATTTTGAACAGTCTCTGGGTCTACTAAGGTTTGTTGGGGAAAGGTAGCTTGGCGTACAGCTGTTATTAATGAGGAAGACAATGGTGGTCCAGGCCCTGTGACTGGTTTAAACTCCATGGTGTCTGGCTCCATCTCTAGAAGCTGCGATGATAAGTGTGGATTTCGGCCAGGGATGTCTCCATTGCAGTGCTGGGCTTTCTGTCCCGTGGAGTGGTTAGCAGAGAAAGATTTAGGTTCCACCGGTGTAGGTTTAGGGATAAAAATCAGTGAAGGCTGATGGACCTCCAATTCACGGTTTTTAGTCTCAGGGATTGCAGGGGTGAAATGGTTGGCAAGAGAAGTTTTTTTTTTGAGGGTCTCTGGTGTGGCGCTGTCCTTCTCTTTGCTGTCTCTGGATTCTGGAGCTTTTTTGTTGTCCACACTAACCTTAATGTCACTAAAAGAAGGATGTTTGTTCTCAGAATCTGAGCTTTTCTCTGCAAAAGAGTAAGAGGCAAGAGAGACGTGTACATAAGTTGAAAAAATAAAAAAACCTAGATATTTAACATTTTAAAAGAATATTCCGGGATCAATACGTTTAATGTAACAATGTTTTTTTTTTAAGATTTATTTTTGGCATTTTTGCCTTTTATTAGGATAGGACAGTATATACTGACAAGAAACAAAGTGGGAGAGAGAGAGGGGGTACAGGATTGGGAAAGGACTGCAAGCCAGGACTCGAACTCGAGTCGCCCACAGTGCAAAGGCGCTATATGTCGGCGCGCTGCCCACGAGGCTATCGTTATCGACATATGTAACAATGTTGATTACCTTACCACTTAATACCTTCAAACACTAATTCCTCAGTTTTTTAAAGCAAAAATTGCAGTAAGGCACTTACAATGCAAGTAAACAGACCAGTGCAACTTCTTACTTATTGCTTACTAACCATGTGCAAATTTATATCCTATATTTCCAACTTGTCATGACCACCTAAAGGCAGTAAACCCTGCTACTCTGACATGCAGAAAGATACAAGAAAAATGATTTTGTGTAAAACAAAGTGCAAAAATATGTTACAGATGAAATAACAAACGTTTTAAAGAAGTGCTTTTACAAAAAAAAAAAAACTTTACATTTCTGCTTTTAAACCCTCAAAGTGCACAGCCATGTTTGCTTTATTTCAAGTGCTTTACTTTAATAGTGATTTTAGCTAGTTTTTTGGGGGACCTGTCGAAAAAAGTTTTTCTGGTAATGGACTTTATGCTATAAATGTTGTTGATAGAGCTTAACTTGTATTGAACCTGGAACATTCTTCTACGGAATGCACAAATGTTTTGTGGTAAAAATAGATGGTTCACTGACCTGCGAGGCCTTGCTCTGTGATGGGAGGGGTAAATCGATCTTGGGCATCAAAAAATTCATCCTCAGATTCTGAACAACTGTCTCTGGAGTCCTTTGCTTTTTCAGGGACATTTGAGGGCACAGCTCTCATCAGCACAGATTGTGCTATTAATTTTGAATATGGCCCCTGTTGTTTAGCTTCATTTATCTTTTTCTGTGGGAAGCTTTTTCCCTCTTGTCTACATGCTGGATGGTTGTGAATCCTGGTGAAGATTGCCTGAAAGTTCACTCCTGCTAATTTAGCATTTATGCTGTTAGGGGTACAAGAGGCTAACACAGCCTCAAATTCTGCTGACATGGCAGAAATGCGACTGTCTTTTCCACTGTCTCCTCCTTCATCATCCTCACTCAAAGCATCGTCGCTGGCCGCAGGTGGGCTTGGCAAGCTGTCAGACATTTGAGAGAGCTCAGAGAAGCAAAGACCTGAGTGATTATCGTAGGTCAGTTCTGAAGGTCGTCTTAGTTTGTTTGAACTGCCGCTCTCATCCAAACGCTCTGGCACCTCCAGGAGGTAAGGGTGGTGGACATCCAGACTCGAGGCACCAGAACTGGGTTTCTCTTCCAGAGACACGTCCATATGGCCAAGCCCACCAATGGCTGCCTTAATACTCTCCTCCAGTGCATTTAGCGAGTTACTAGACAAACTGGAGAAGCTGGTGTTGACTCGAGGGTCTGTGTACCAACCTGTCTCCAAAAGGGAATCCATTATCATGGCGTAATCCTCATCTCCAACAGACTCTCTCTTGCTTGCCTCATCTCCTTCATCTTCTAAAAAGGGATGCGTTACAATCACTCTAACCTTTTCTGCCTCTGCTTCACTTTTCCCCTCGGCTTCCTCTCCTTCCTCTGTGCCATCATTTGTATGAGTAGACATAGTGTCCTCTGACAGCTGAGTGTCCAGCAGTCCCTCCATGGCATAGTCATCCTCTGAACTGTCTTCTGAATCGCTCCCACACCGAGAAACATACCCTACACAAAACACATTAAACATCATTTATGCAGCATTTAGTATAATATAATGTACAAGTGACTTTTTTCTTAAGTGATTTAATCCGTTTAAAAATACAGCTGATTATTGATGTTATAACTGAAATCTTACAAAAAGGCATTTCTTGATATTCTTGGAAGAACTCTGTATACACCAAGGTACATAATTTTCAGTATATTTCAAAATTCCATAGTCTGGCACCATCACTGTACAATGGTACCACCATAGTACTTTTTCATGTTGTTGCAACCACAACATGCAATGTGCAAAAGTTTGTCTCTTGGTTTTTATTTCTGCGGCATTGTGCTGGGTAGCACATTGTGGGCTGCCTTGTCATCCGATCAGTGTTATTTTAGTATTATATATGTAGTAGTATTTATTTTTTTGAATTAGGTATTTTCAGCTTCCAACAATTCTCAAATTCCATTTCAGTTTGTTGCCAAGGCAACATTTCTGAAAGTTTTTTCAGTTTAAGTTTTTCATCTAATATTTATATGTAGGGATGCATAGTATTATCGGAATCGACTTAATTATAGTGGCTTAAAATGTATTGGCATCTGCTCAATATTCAAAATGATGGCAATATGCTTTGCCGATAAGTAACTCACATGGGCTGAGGGTTTGCTAGCGATAAGATCATGTCAGCAGTGTGGTCATTCTTGATGCTAACTTTTGCCTGAATGGTGATAGATTCACTTAATGTTGTTTCCAAACCAAAAAATATATACCCCCGGTTTCACAGACAAGGCTTAAGCTAGTCCCAGACTAAAATGCATGTTTGAGCTGTCTCAACTGAAAATATCTTGCTCTGACATATCTTAAAATATGTCAGTGTCATTGTTCTGTGTCAAGATGCACACCTGTAATGTTTTCTTCTATGGCATTTTTGTAAAAGTTGCTTAAATATCTTAATTTAGCTAAGGCCTAGTCCTGGCTTAAGCTAAGCCCCGATCGGCCACAATGTGTTAAAAAATATCGCCATATCAAATATCAGCAAAAATCCAATATTGTGCATCCCTAATTTATAGTTTATTTTATTTCAGCTTTATTTAATATAACAAAAATGATTTTTAACAGATTTAGTTAACAATAATAACACTTCTCCCTACACAGAGCAACATCAATCACTTGTAGTGTGGGCAGGGTGTTAGGAGAAAAAAGTTGTTATGCCACATATGTAATGACTCAACCTTCCCTAATCTCCTACCTTCTTCTGCCGGAATGCGTCGCATTTTAGGTCTGGGTCCCCAGCGAAACACATTGATATTGGGGTCAACCAGCAGTTTGCAGTATCCAGCCAGGAGGCAGGCCAGATCTTTAGCTGCTACCGATTCCATTAACAGGGCTATTGGCTGGAAGTTGCAGGATAAAGAGATTGTCAGATGGAGAGAGAAAGAGAAGAAGAGAGAGAGGAAACACATATTTCCGTGCCTGGGTGTTTATCCACACCTGGATGTCCCGAAGGTACAGTTTCAGCATTTTAACTGTGTTTATTTGAATCTGTTGGTAGACGTGTACACACCTGGATGTCCTGCAGGTAAATCTTGAGCATGCTGACTCTGTCGGACTCTGAGAGTACCTCTATTCGGGTGATGTAGTGGAAGTCTATGATGGTGGAGATCATGTTGAGCTGGTGGTTTAGTATTTGGCTGATCCCATATCTGGCTCCTACCAGCAAAGTCACCAGTGACTCCCTGTCCTGCAACTGTAACACACACATGTCCTTCAATCTGACTCAGTCTTACCAAGGAAATACAGAAACATATAAAGAATATAAACAGGATTTTTAAAATGGTCCCATGTGAATCTTATGAGTCAGTTCTTTATAATGAATTAGTCTCAGGCTTTACGTCATTTCAAGGTTTATTTTTATGCCATTGCAAGAGATGCCGCTATTTTATCCAAATCTCTCGCTCCCTAGAAGAGCCATCTTATATAACATGCTTAAATTCATATCCTTAAAAACAGGAGGATGCTTGTCAAGATTTTATCCAGCATAACATTATCTAGAAAAAACAAATGGTTGCCGCCAGACAAGAGAGGAAAATAAACTAAACATATCTGTGCCCTGCAGATTTTGTTTGTTATTTGTGATGAATGTGGCAGATGGACACAACTCTCTCACCAGCATGGTGGCATTGTAGCTTCTTCCGCTGTATGAAATCAGCTCCGCCATCTGGGTCAGATAAGCCAACCGGGCCTGAGACACAGAAATCACCTGAAAAAGTGAGAGAGAGGGAAATGGAAAAGATAAACAAATAGATTTTCATTATGATTGAAGTAATAAAAACAAGGACAGGACAAAAAAAAAAGTGGTCTTACAGCTGCTGCAGTGCATAATATGTATAATGTGCACAGTATGCATATTCTTGTTTGGTATAGAAAACCCAGTTCTCAATTACATTTGGTCAAATGTGCAGGATATATACATAAAAAAGATATGCATATTTTGCATTAAACTTAATATATATTGTTTCTATAGATATTATCAACAACTTGAAATCTATAGTTTTATATTTCACCATTGTTTTAAATTTGATTGTGTCATTTGCATTGGGATTCATGGGATTGTAGCTCTTTAATCGGCTATGTACTTTTCAAATCAAAGTTTGTAATGTTGTAATTCACCTCATAGCTGGTTGGTTTGGTTTATGGCTTAAATCACTTTAACAAAGATTTTTTTTTTTAAATACCTATGGAAAAACTGGATGGAAAAACTACTTCCCGTAATCAACAAACATTTACACTGCATACTATTTCACATACATTTTTGAGTAGGCAGTGTGTTAAACCATGTTTAGTTTGTCAAAGGGATCATCTATAAACTAGTATTTAATTAATATGTTAAATATAAAAATGTAAATTTTTATATAATTTTCAAAAATCATTTAAAATATATTATTTTCTGTTTATAGGGACATTTTTAATAGTTTTCTGAAAAATGTAAAAGACACACCTTCTGATGTGGTTCTAGCAGTGACTGGATCTTCTTCATGTGGTAGTTGAGAGCTTTCCGTAGGTCTTTGTCTCTCATGTTCCTCAGCAGCGTGGGAGAGATGAAGCTCTCTAAACCAAACTCCTTGCTGACACAGACACGCACATGCATTAAATGACTGTTTTCTAATGTAGCATGAGTATTTTTGAGTGTATGTGTGTGCTCTTACACAACGCTCTTAACAGATGCCCTCGCGGTCTGTCCACAGCTTGCCAGTTTCTCGTGCATGTGCAAAGCGGCTAGTCTCAGCGCTGTGTTACATTTCATCTCTACAGCATAGCGTTCCTGTAACACATCTCCCACACTCTACACACATTTATACACCAGGGTTACGTCAGTTAACTAAAGCTAAAACCACAAAACATTTTCCTTACTTGAAATGAAATAAATATTAACTGACATTAAATAAAAAAAAATATTTCAGCTATTTGACAAGGCAGCATTTCTTGACATTAATTGATGCACTAAAATAACTAAAACTGAAATAATTTATAAATTGTAAAAAAAAAAAAAAATAGTGACAAAAAACACCCAACAAAACTGCTGCAACTAAAATTAACATGAAAATGCAATATAAAAATGAAAACTAATTCATAATACTGATAAACTGTAATAGTACCTTACTTGCTGATACTTAATAACACAGCAGTCTTTAAAGCCTTGCTTTATTTCTACGCCACTTTATTTTTAGTGGTACATAATCAAATTCTACCTGCTGAAAGAGGTACTCAAACGCCACAGGATCATCCTGCAGGAGGTCCATTGGGTCTCTGGGAATGAAGCAGACTCTGAACAGACACCTGTAGTCATGGGAATCCTTCTTCTGTACCACCGAAAAAATTTATAAATTGTAAAAAAAAAAAAAAAATAGTGACAAAAACACCCAACAAAACTGCTGCAACTAAAATTAACATGAAAATGCAATATAAAAATGAAAACTAATTCATAATACTGATAAACTGTAATAGTACCTTACTTGCTGATACTTAATAACACAGCAGTCTTTAAAGCCTTGCTTTATTTCTACGCCACTTTATTTTTAGTGGTACATAATCAAATTCTACCTGCTGAAAGAGGTACTCAAACGCCACAGGATCATCCTGCAGGAGGTCCATTGGGTCTCTGGGAATGAAGCAGACTCTGAACAGACACCTGTAGTCATGGGAATCCTTCTTCTGTACCACCTGAAAGAGCAGCACTTTATTACAAACTCCAGTCGTGGCTGTAGTGTGTATAAGTAGGTATATTTCACTAAATTAATAGTTCTATATGGTTTTACATATGTTAGAAAATTAGACATATCTTTGCCTATCTTTATACATAACTTGCCTAGCTGCAAGCTACTCATAACTGAACAACCTTATTTTCCAGAAAATAAGTCACACCTGACTATGTCAAAATTGCATTGCTGAGAGAGAAAAAAGATAAGTTGCGTTGTACAAGTCGCATTTTGTTATTACATTCAGAAATATTGTAAAATATTGGTATATTAAATGTTTTCAAACATTATACGTACTATGAACGTATTTTATTTCTCCTTACTCAAAGGCATTGTGCACATTATGTAAGCCGTGTTGGAATATAAGTTGCAACATATTCAGATGATTTAAAAACTTGACTTATATTCCAGAAAAATACAGTAGTCAAGACCCTTTAAGTTACTGACAAAATATAAGATAATTACGATCAAGCTGTTTAAAACAGTCATTTATTTGAATTATACAATTATCAGTGCATATTATTTCTTTTCAAAATTACAGCACAATGAGGGTGACAACATCTAATTTGAACACAAATATTTACACAAGAGACAACTCATAAAAAACACCTCATTTATATTAGATGTAATTTTTACCAGATCAAAACTAAGTGATTAATAGTAGCAATTACAAAATAGATTTCAATAAGTCAAAACTGAAGGATGATGGGAAGAATCAGTGAATTGGCTGACTGAAGTGAACTGTCCACATTAATCAATACACAAATATGAATCAGACTTCCCAATGCTACCTGAGAGAGAGAGGCATTTTAGATGTGTAATGTGTTTGATCAATGCTCACTTGTGCACAATATAGTGTCATGCTACATTTAACTATTTGTCCTGCTACGGTTATTGTTGGAAAAGTTGCTTCTTAACGGTTAGCATTATTCTGAATGTAGCCGAGCTACTGTTGTAACTTGAAAATGTAACTATATATGCATTGCTACTTTTAGTTAGCTAGTGTGTTACCTTTTGTATGAGCTCCTCCTCATGCAGCAGCAGTAGTTTGGTGATGTTATATTGCTGTTCCAGCACCAGTGCGAAATGCTCAATACATCGAATGGACAGCTTCTCTTTCAGAGTCAACACGATATCCTGCACACAGAGACAACTTTACTACACTCTCAAAAATAAAGCTTTCAAAATAGGGTTTGAGCAGCAATGCCATAGAAGAGCCGATTTTAGGTTCTCAAGAGAACCTTTCAGTGAACAGTTCTTAAACTAACCATTTTTTCTTAGTTAAGAACATTTTAATGATCCAAAGAACCCTTTCCACTGTAAAGAACTTTCTGTGGAATGGAAAGGTTTCATGGATCTTAAATCACAGATATTAATAATGAAGCTTTATTTTGTAGAGTATACATCCACGCAAAGTCATTCTGGATTTTGGCGGTTAGTGGAACAAACATAGATGTCTTATAAAATAAAGAAAAAAGGGGTCTTGAAACTTTTTTTAGGCCCTTGACTCTTGGTGGATAGATGTTTTCATCTTTTCATAAAAATAAATTTAGGGTCAAGCAATAACTGATAGATTTCCTGCAGTATCGCTGGACCCCACAGTACTGAAGTTAAAGCCAAAGTTGATATAGAGTACAGAAAAGAAAAACAGCAATCTAAAACCTTGACAGTGGTGGACTTGTTAAATTTGAAGGCTTTGGTCTGGCCGTTCTCCAGGTACACCTTCAAAACGTTGGGCAGGAAGAGAAGAGAGTTTCCCTGGAAACAATGAAACATGGATTAGGAAAAAAGCATGTCATCATGTTTTGATGAAAACAAATATAACAACAACAAATGTATTATCATGCAATTCTGCTTGTGGTCGTGGCTAGATAGTACAAAACTATTAACCAGGCTGCATCACACCATTTTTTGGTCCAAGTGTAATCCTGACTAGGGTTGGTGTGAGAGTATGTGTGGCTTTACCTGAGTGTGTCCGTTGACGACCACCTCTTCTGCAAAGCGCACTTTAACGGGGTTTCTTCTCAGACGAGCTCTTTTCTCTGCTGTTATGAATGAAGACTTAGGATTCTGAAGGCAAAAAAACAAACATTTCTTTAAATTCTGAGCTGGAAAATGACACTATGGTCTTCTGTAGGGTTGCCTTATAGCTGAAATTTCAAGGGATAGTTCACCCAAAAATGAAAATGCTGTCATTAATTACTCGCCCTCATGTGGTTCCAAACCTGTAAGACCTTCGTTCATCTTCGGAACACAAATTAAGATATTTTTGATGAAATTCAAGAGATTTCTGACACTGCATTCAAGACACAGAAACATAGTAAGGACATCGTTAAAATATTCCATGTGACATCAGTGGTTCAACCGAGCAAGATTGACACAGAAGAAAAGAAATTGTTTAATACATTTTTGTTTTCTTTGCGCACAAAAAGTATTCTCATAGCTTCATAAAATTAATGTTGAACCACTGATGTCACATGGACTATTTTAATGTCCTTACTACCTTTCTGGGCCTTGAACGTGTCCGTTCGGTTGCTGTTTATGCAGGGTCAGAGAGCTCTCGGATTTCATCAAAAATATCTTCATTTGTGTTCTTAAGATGAACGAAGGTCTTATGGGTGTGGAACAACATGAGGGTGAATAATTAATGACAGAATTTTCCTTTTTGGGTGAACTAACCCTTTCAGACGTTTCATAACTAAAGATTTTTGTTTATCACTGTGAAGCTGCTTTGAAAAAATCTGTATTGTATAAACTACTATATAAAAAATGTGACTCAAATTGACTTGTACTGGTGAAGGCAAATCAGTAAAAAAAAAAAAAGGAACCATTAACAGAACAAACCCCCACCCTTCGGTTTCAACTGGAAAAGAAAACCGGATTTGTCTAAAAATTAGTTCTTGATTCCCAACACTACCACTATCTGACTCAGCATCAACAAATTGCAAGAAGACTCTTCAGTACACACCACCATATTTCTGAGGATTGTCATGGTTACAGAGTCCTGGCAATCCCTGAGGGCAGAGCACAAAACATGAAAAACAAAAACATTGTTACCAAATCATGAGGTCATGACATCATCATATTTACAAGTGGGGCAAGAAGCAAGCAAGCAATATCAATTCAGCAAAGTTATTTTAACTGTGTCCCTTTAATCTGCTCAGTCACCTAATCATCTGCTCCACGTTTTCAGGCGAAAGATCTTCTATGGCTTTATTGTTCAGTTTTAGGATCTGATCTCCAGGAAAAAGCTGACCGTCTGCTGGGCCTCCTACAAATAAACACACACACATATGCAACTATTAAATTACAGCTCTAGTTTCATGCATGCTGAACAGTACCTTCAATGTAAGTCAATGTCTGCTTTATATTCTTACAGGCAAAAAGTCTGATCACTGATAAAATGAAGAACACACCTCTCATCAAAAAGCCACACGATTTAAGTTATGTGCCACAGCTTAATACTTAGTTTTAGGGATTTGTTTAAATCACTAACCTTAACTGTAAGTAAAAGTTATAGTGATGAAATTATGAGATGAAAACTGAATTATTTGATTTTATGGTCATTAATGTTCGTAATTTCAAGATCAGTCTACACTACTGTTAAAAAGTATAGGTGGATCAGATTAAAAAAAAAATGTTTTTGAAAGAAAAATGTTCTTATGCTAACCAAGACTGCATTTATTTGATCAAAAATACAGTAAAAACAGTAATATTGTGAAATATTACAATTTAAAATAACTGTTTTCTATTTGAATATATTTTAAAGCTGAATTTTCAGCATCATTACTCCAGGCTTCAGTGCCACATGATCCTTCAGAAATCATTCTAATACGCTGATTTGCTGCTCAAGAAACATTTCAGTTATTATCAATGAATGTGTTATGGGTTTGTTCAAATCAAAGATTTGTTCAAATAGTAAAAGTTACAGTCATGCGATTGCGAAAGTTGCATTGTTAATTCATTATTCATGTCACGTCTGGTGCTTCTGTGGATGGAGTGTCTGACTCGGAGTCTGTCTCTGCACTGCTCTGTTCTGCCATTTACACTCATTTGTCTTCGAGCCAAACTATACACACACACACACACACACACACACACACACACAATCTGCCCTTCTGCCCCGACAACATCCCCTTAGTCTCTGATGGCTCTCTGCCCTGCCAGAACCAACCACCAATGCCTGGCAGATCTCTCTCTCTCCTTCTCCTTTCACATAATTATGTGCTGCAGGGCTGTGAGGTTCTCCCTCTGGGCTTTTATCAGCTGTTTCTGCTGCAAAAAGAGAGAAGTCAGCACTGCAGAATGACTGTGTGTGTGTGTGTGTGTGTGTGTAAGAATGCACACACAATAGCTTTGTTGCAAGATCCAGTGTACTGCTGTGCCGTCTGCTCTGTATACACAGCTGCCTTCTAAGGCGACTAAAATGAAACCTTATAAGTGGCTGATTTAGATATGGAACGCTCTGCAAAGGCGGGAAACATCCATTCAGGGATTTATCGCTTGTGATTCATGGGCAGACCTGCTAGAAGACATTAAAAAAAGATTTCAGCTGAGTCTGTGTAACTAGGGCAACGTTGTTGACGTGCAATCTCACGCAATCTTGCCTTCCTATGATCTTGTATTATTTTTTTTATTCTTTGTTACTCTCCTAATGTGAAGACAGTAAACAATTTGTAAAAAATCTGGGATGTCATTGATTCAATGAATGACAGCATCAACTCACAATTGATTCAGACAGAGTTTGATGTTAGCGTGTTGCTAAGCTAAAAATTCTATACCGTAATATAAAAGTGTATAGGGTTGCTGATATTACTTGCTACTAAAACAGTTCAGGTCTTTGTATTGAACTTGGAATAACAATTTATAAACTGGAATTTTATGAAAGTTTCGATTTTTCCTACTTGATTATTGTGACGTCATTTCCAAAAAAACTAAACAGTAATGGCTTCAGTTAAAGGTAAAAAAACTCTACATACATTTCTGCTAAATATTACATTTTATTATAAATTTTGTTAACTGGTGCTCTGTATTTGTTCTTTAATATTTTACACAAGAATATAAAGGTATTTATGTAGTATTTTTGGTCAGTACAATTTATCTTTAAATTAATATGTATATTCCACAAGGATGCATTAAATTAATGCATTAAGCAATTTATATTGTCATAGTTTCATTTACATAAGAAACTTTTTTAAATGAGAGGATGAGGAATTTCTGATATTTTTCAGAATTTAAAGTTTCTTGCTCACTGCGACACATTTTGGGATTGACTTCTATCAAGGATATATGCAAGGATATATGACTATGTTGCTATCTAGTTAGGTTTTTATGTGTTCTAACTAGATGTGTTGTGATTGTGTGAGGTTGCGTGTCAGTAACTGCTGGTTCAAAATGACAATAAATATAATTAGCTTGTGTCAGTGTGTGTTTGTATGTGTGAAGGAGCTTGTGCACCTGCATCGTAATGAATTAAATAAATGACAGAGGAGCAGGTGGCCACCTCACACACAGCAGCTCAAGTGTCACGTCCTTTCTCACAGTTTCACCATCTCTGTCAAAGCAGCACAGAGGGTGAAAATTCAGTCTGATGCAGAGATTTCTAGACACAAACATCCAGAGCAAAAGCTTATAAATCAGGGTACTTTTCTCAAGATAAACATCTGAGAAGCAGGACGGTGCTTCTTAGAAGTCTCCATTTAATCTTATTGGTGTCTCTGAGAAATATAAGAGATCTTAACAGGATCTCATTTGTGTTGTTTCTTTCCTCTGGGCACATTTTCTCACGCACAGCCAGGACAGTAGCCAAACCCGGCTTCACTTAGATCATAATCTGTGTTAAAAACAATCTGCTCTAGTGCATCCCCTAAGCCAAACTCGGGGGTGCTGTGATGAGAGAGTGAATCCATGGGAGTCCAGGACAGCATCTCTGATCACCTCCACTGTCACCTTCATAGGGAAGTTCTGCTGGCCCGAATCCCCAGAGTGCGACCTCCTGCCTCCTAAAATACGCTCCCTTTGAGAGACAGATAAAAACACACAGGCTGTGTTCAAAATGAAATACTAGTGTACTGCTTGATCTGTTAGTGTACAGTACTATATATGTCCAACAATTTTTTAATAACATGCATTTTTTAATTATTTTAAAATACAAATTCAAAAGTTTAGGGACAAAATTGCTCACCAAGGCTACATTTATTTTATACAAAATATAGTAAAATCAGTAACATTGTGGAATATTACTACAATTTAAAGGGGTCATATGATGCGATTTCAAGTTTTCCTTTGAGAGAGAGACAGGGTCACATCACAGTGGATTCAGCTGTCTTAACCGTGGCTTGTGTATCACAAACACATACCAGCTTCATCACTGTCTGTCACGCGACTCTGTTCCCCTTTCGGGCTCTATTTTGAAAGATGAAGCACGCGATTATGGTAAGGGGCGTTACATAAGGGGCCAATCACAATGCACTGGGTCAGCTGGCCAATCAGAGCAGACTGCGCTTGTCGGAAGGAGGGACTTTGTAGAAAACGAAGCGTTTGAGAGAGGCGGGGCATAGAGGACCTACAATAATGTACAGTATTTGAAAAATAATGTGTTTTTTGAACATTAAAGCATGTCAACATATTCTGTTACACCAAATACACAAAATAATGATCTTTAAAAAAGCATCATATGACCCCTTTAAAATAGTTGGTTTCGATAAGTATATTGTAAAATATATTTTATTTCTGTGATGAAAACCTGAATTTTCAGTAGTCATTACTCCAGTCTTCAGTGTGAGTGTCAGTGATTCTTCAGAAATCATTCTAATATGCTGACTTGATGCTTAAGAAACATTTATTATTACTGTCAATGTTGAAAACAGTTGTGCTATTTAATATTTTTGTGTAAACCATGATATTGTCTTATCTTTGTTGAATAGAAAGTTAAAAATATGAGCTTTCATTTGAAAATAGAAATCTTTTGTAACATTGTCTTTACTGTAACTTTTGATCAATTTAATGCATCCTTGCTGAATAAAAGTATTAAAATCGTACCGATTCCAAACTTTTGAACAGTACTAGTAGTGTACTTTTTTTTATTTTTTTTTTTATATATATATATATATTTATATTTTGCATTTTTTTAACACTCGTGTTGTGCTAAAAATCCTTTACCTAATTTGGTGTGCCTGGTCAAAAATTCTCATTATGCTATATTATCACCAAATCTGGGATTCAATCTTTTTGTCAACTTGTTTTCTTTCAGTCAGCACTGGTTTTGTATTTCTTTTTGGAACTGATTTATAGTAGGCTTCATGATCTGAGCTTATGCACCTCTGTAGCAACAGTTTTTGAGTGAAAAATCAATCATTTTGTCAATGCTCACTCCAAAACTGAAGTGTATAAGCTCAGATCGGTGAGGCCTATGATCAGTCAGTTCCAGAAAGAAATATAAAACCTGTGCTAATTGAAAATTGGGGGAAACCTATATTTAAAAAAAAAAAAAGAATAAATCACAGAAAGTACAAAAATGGCCTTTTTTGGGGGGTTGTTTGAGCAAAGAAAGTAAGTTTTACTCCAATGTGATAACATTAACTAGCATTTTCTGGAACAGAAAATCCTAAAATAAATAAGTACAGTACTAATTAAACTACTGAGGATTGTCTCTAAAAATATCACATTCAAATCAGTGGAAAACCACATGAAATGACGTCACTGTATGCCGACAGACTCTAAAACACATGGCGATGATAACTGCCTGATGAACGTGTGGTTGCATGGCAGGAGACGACTGTGTTTATACCAGCGGGTGAACGACAAATGAACTACAAGCCCACAGCAGATGGAAGTACGAGAAAATCTCGAAAGCAGTTCTCATGAGAAAACAAGGAATTATTTGCCATCTAAACATTTATGTAGATACAGATATTAAGTGAAGTACTTTCTGAAGAAAAAGAGCCCACAAACAAAATCTCTAACTACACCACTCTCAACAAATGCTGAATCTTGCGAGCTTCACAAAGCTGGAATTTATGGTAGGGCCCATCTGGAAACCAAGGCCAATATCTTATACAGGAACCATAAAGCCTGCGACCCTAATTAATGGAAAATAGTACTTTGATCTGATTAGTGTTCTTTCCCTATATCTATATGGGTTTGGAGAAAACCAAAAGATGGCTTCAACCCACACAGGCTGTTAAACACATGGGAGATCCATCATGGTTCGGACTGACTGGTTTGGTGGTTGCTCTGTGTGTTGTTCACAGTCCATGTGACATAGCAGCATCAAAGTGTGCACTACATCAAAAGATGACTACAAAGGCTGAGAGCACCAACTGGGACAGAGCCTAAGTCAACCGTCTTCCGTGGCTACATCTAAACATCATTAGAACTGCCTGTGATGTTCTGGAGCTCCAAATGTTAATGGGCGTTTTCACTTTTATAGGCTTTTCTATCCTTCGAGAAATGCATTTCTGCTCTGATTATAATATTATATGCATCTGTGTGTGTGTGTGTGTGAGGTTACTCCACCTGCTGAGAGAGTCTCGAGAACGGCGCAGCCATTTTCCCACCACCTGCTCCACTCGACCGACCCTGCGTGGAGATCGACTTCTGCTTCTCTCTCGCTCCTCCATCTAACTGAGAGATAGAAACACAGACAGAGAATAAGGATGAGGATCATACAGTGTAAAACACTATTTTTTAAATCAACATCAAAATTGACCATATGTGAACTTTTTTAAAGACCCATGAAGTCAGAACCAAAGTTTTGTGGCATGTTGTCCATGTTAGTTAGCTTTGGGGTCATTATTTTAACGCACTCCTAAAAGCAGGTACACTACCGTTCAAAAGTTTGGGGTCGATAAGATTTTTTAATGTTTTTGAAAGAAGATTCTTATTCTCACCAAGGCTGCATTTATTTGATTAAAAATATGGTAAAAATGTGAAATATTATTACCATTTAAAGAATGGTTTTCTATTTTAATATCTTTTAAAATGTAATTTATTCCTTTGATGCAAAGCTGAATTTTTGCAGCATCATTACTCCAGTCACATGATCCTTCAGGAATCATTCTAATATGCTAATTTGCTGCTCAGGAAACATTTACTATTATTATTATTAGTGTTGAAAACAGTTGTGCTGCTTCATATTCTTGTGGAAACTGTGATACACTTTTCTCCAGGATTTTTTGAGTGATAGAAAGTCCAAAAGAACAGCATTTATTTGAAACCGAAATCTTTTGTAACAATACAAATGTCTTTACTGTCACTTTTGTTGAATTCATGCTCTTCTACTATGTATTGCTGACATCATCTTGCACTACAAATTTTTGTCCAATCAAATGCTCTCTAGAATGGGAATGTCCCTCCCTCTTATACCACCTGCTTCTGACAAGTACAAGTTTCATTTCTGAGATTTATACTAAAGACTACTGAGTATTAAAAAATAGGGACAAGCCTTGTTGCAACTTCATGTTTCAAAAGGAAATACATCAACACAGGAAAGAAAACTCATCAATGATTTTGCAGAGCCAACATGAAATGGCAGTCACAATCTATTTTACATCTGTAAATGAGTCAAATCCATTTACTTCAATTTCAGATTTTCAGCTTATTTCATCCTTCTTAATTCATATTCTCATCTCAACACTCTCTCTCTCACTCTGCCCTGTCTGTGTGCTGGGTTTAATATATGCTAATAGCAGCGGCACAGTCATGAGGTGACACCAGGCCTGGCATTTAGAGGACAATCTACGTCACAGCAAACAAGATATCACATGCATAATAACATCAGCCATCTACAGATGATAGAAACACACACTGCCCCTATGCAACCCACACACACATTCAATCTGTTTAAATACCTGAACGACTTCTTTCGCTCCTCTGGACATGTGCAGCTACAAACACACACGCATCTCTCTCTTATCTATGCAGTCAGACGCAAGGGAGCCCTTACACACTTACTCAATCACTCACAAACCACAACTTCTCTAAACCACACTCTGTGTGTGCATGTGTGCTATCAAACACATTCTGAACGTCTGATCAATATGCAGTTTTCTTCTACTGTGTTTCATCATGCTCAGAATAATCGGCCTGATTATGCACTGATTTGCTGGTTGCATTGCATGCTGAAGAGGGTCATGTGACCTTTTACCTTTGCTCTATGAGATTGCATACAGATTCAGTCTAAATCCTGATGTCTATGAGGTTTGGTCAGTATAATGAAATTACATTTGCAAGAACGCTATGAAATGCGTGTCATTTACAAGCAACACTAAGAGTATTAATTAACAAAACCCGACACATAGTCTATGCAGGTGCACAAAGACAGATGGAAATTCGTGGCCAGCATCCTTTAGCTAGCTATATGTTGACAATTAAAACTTAAATAACTTGCTCAGCAAGATTCACTTCAAACAAATCGTTTTATCATTTCAGCAATTAATAATAAACAAGAGTGCTGCTTTACAGATTGTGTTCTGACACTTTTCATAATGCAACAACGTGTGAAATCAAGCTTGTGTAACTAGGCAGTGTTGTTACTGATAACTATTAAAACAATTAAATTTAAAATAAATACATTAAAAAATATTTTTAATTAATTTGTATAAGAATGAAATCAAATAAAATGTAAAACTGTAATTTTGTGAAATATTATTGCAATTTAAAATAAGAGTTTTGTATTTTAATATACTTTAAAATATATTTTATTCCTGTGAAGCAAAGCTGAATTTTCAGCATCATTACTCCAGAGTTTTCTTCTGTGTCACATGATCCTTCAGAAATCATTCTTACATGCTGATTTATTATCAATGTTGGAAACAGTTAAACAGGGACCTGTGATACTTTTCAGGATTCTTTAAAAATATAAAGTTAAAAAGAACAATGTATTTGTTTAATTTTTAAACTAAAATTAAGTGAAAACTATAACAGTATAAAACTGTGTATACAACACTGTAGCTAGAAGGGTTTATATTCACATTCTTACAAGCTTCACAAACAGACAGAATAAGAGATAAAGAAACAAAATAGGTAGAGACAAGTATGTCTAAGCACAACCTCCTTCAAAGCTGCTGAAGCAGAGAAAGAAAGAGCTCATTCATATGACTGACAAAAGACCAGATCAGACCGTTTTATGTTTGGTCTGTGTTACAGAACAATGATCATAAACCAGCATTTTTGGCCTTTGAATACAGACTGTTTCGACTGTCACATGAAGCTGCCTGAATAATAGAATTAAACAGATGAAATCAACATTTCCAATTCACCTTCTAAATAAATTTCCCTGGTTTTAGTATACACCATTCACATTACTCTGAACAAAAACGTTTGCAGTTTGTAATGTTTTGGAGCATTTTTTATTGGGTTGTTATGCAGTTGCTAAGTTGTTCTGATTGGTTTGTTGTGCACCACGTTAAAACTGCGATCACTTAGTAAAGTAGCAGCACATCTTTCCTCACACATGACTTGAGGAGTCATTTACGTCTGGAGCAGAAATGCTGTGGTGAGAGAGTTACACACTTAAGTTTAATAGCTAGGATTAAAAGACATATGATATAAGTATGAGCAACAATAATTGTAATGCTCCATTCACAACATCCACGATCTAATGGATAAAATTAAGCCCTGACCTACTGTATATTCAAACAAATATTCATACTGAATATTCAAATGCTGCTTCATGCTGTCAGTAAATTGAAAACGCATGTAAACCCAGTTCAGACGACCTCTTGACCTCCAAGGCTCCTCGAGCACAGCTAGATTTGCGGCTCTCATGGTACTGTGACAAACGTGATTAATCCAGCATGCAATCAGAGCACTGAACATGTGCGTGTGTGTGATGTATTAGTGGATTAGTACGCCCACCTAGTAAGTGTGTCATTTAGTCACTCGTGCTGATCCGGATTGATCTGGATCTGCAGATCCGAGATGGGCAGCTGCACTGCACTTATGCGTTAAGCAGGAGATACTATTGATATTTCATAGCTCACAGCAAAAGTAATTGGATGAAAGTAAAGTGACTGCAGATTATAAAACAGTAAGGTTTTGTGTTAAGAATTTATGCACTCAACAGCACACCTGTGTGTGTGTGTGTGTGTGTGTATGTGTCGAGTCAGGTAAGAGTCCTTCATGCCCTTGTGGAGTCATGAAGATGTCTGCGGTGACAGTTTCAGCTCCTGTTCATCCATAAAAACATGAGGCCTCTTCTCTCTCCACCTGCATTTCTGCATCTCCTGCAAGACTCAGATCAAACAGCCATCAAGCACAGCTCTCGATTTCTGTCCAAGAGTATGTGTAACATCCACACTTGTGTATTGATTTTTAATAAAATCATATTGCAACAGGTTTTTCCTAAAGCACATACACACTGGAGAAAGCTCTCAAAGCAAAAAGCTAAACAAGTTGAATCTATTATATGATATTATTAGTTTTGTTTTAGGCACTTAGTGCAAAAATAAACAATTTGTGTTGACTGCCTGTGCCTTCTGTACTAGTTGTTGTAAAACAAGAAGAAATGTCGGAAATCGATTTTTTTTAATTGTGTCCATTGGTTAAATCCATTTTGATAATAATAGTATTTAGGAAGTTTGCATTACAAACATATAACAATGTTATATGTTTGTAACAATGTTACAAACATATAACAATGTTAACAATTTGCTGTAATCTTATTAAATATAAAGTAGCATTAGTCAACATTCTAGTGCATATTAATTTATTCACGAAGAGTCTGCTTTCTTTACTTTTAGCTGAGCACTTTAAATTAAAGTTTCCCTTCAAGTTTTTAAGGCAATCATTTTGCAACCATTTTTTAAGTAAACTGAACCTGTTAGAATTTAAGGTGTAGGTTAAGGTCCCACACTTTTTTTTCAAGTCAAGTCACAGTAATAAACAGGAAAATAACAGTGATAATTTAGTAAAATTCATCAATTATGAAACAACGTCAATTTCAGATATAATTTAGTTCAATGTTGTTTAAATAGTTTAAAGTTGAGCATAACTAGAAAAATACTTATTCACTATTGAAATTTCCATGATTTTATAATTTATTTTAATTTCAGTGACATATCAAGGCCTGGAAAACATATTCAAGTTTATATATGGCTGTACAGAAACACAGAAATATGTGTACATGTTTAAAATTTCTATCCAAAATTCATTATTTAAAGATTATTTCACAGACATAACTTGAAATCTAATTTGCATGCCACTAAGAGCCTCAAACGAAACTTTAGAGTATCTTGCAAACATCTAATAGACAAACCTTGCAAACTGGCAAGTTCTTGCCACTTTTGTGTGTAATATGCATCAGCAGATGGGCTTCGAGTAGTTCATCCAAAGCTAAGACTAGACAGTTCTTGGCCAAAATAAGATGCAATGCAACCAGACTTCATGCTATATCGCTTATCGCAATTATTTCTGGGGCAATATATCGCACAACAAAAAGTTGTTATCGTGACAGGCCTAGCTGAAAGAAGTCGGGCTCTATGACACTACATTCAGCCTCAGTATTTCATTTAGTTCCTTTGAGAGCTGCTGTAATGACACTGCAGTCATCAGCCTCCGGCGGTACAGTAAAAGCGCTCAGATTTAGACACTCGCACTCAGCTGCTCCCGTTCACAATCACTCA